CCACTTCATAGTCCGCAATAACAGACGGTCAAACTCGTATACCTGTGAAGGTTTAAACCAAATAATCAATGTAGTTCGATGACACTGTGAAGGTGATTTGGGACGTATTTCGAAGTAACTGTTCTCGATGCGCCACAGTTATCTGAGACAACTAGCAAGTTCCCATTGGAAACTATAGGATCTATGATATAATAGACAACTCGCCTATCATACCAACTTCACTTCACTACATCTACATTTCTCCCACTAAAATTGACCCAAGCAACACTCGCCCACAGAAGAAACGAAAGGAGGCATATACTCAGGCATCGACGATGTAAGGCTGTTAATGATAACAACAGTGGTTTTACCGTTACTACTCTTCCTCATGAGGAACTAATACACGTAATAATTCTACACCCTCCTCGCCATTTACGCGCCCCAGGAAACCGCAGCCACGCCGTTGGCACTATAGTGGACACCGTTTTTCAAAGCGTAAGATTTCCCATTCAAACAGAGGGGCTCCACACCATCAACGAGCTCAGCCGTTGAATGCGACATCACCTGCATACAAGCCGACACTCAGACCCTCATAGTCCCCATCGTTAACTACGTATTGCTTCAGCATTTCTTGCACCTCCTTATTGCCACCACTTAAAGTGTCCAACTCCTTCATGTTGAAGTGAGGTCCCATACGAGTGATACTCACAGTCACCGAGTTCTCTTTATCGATATCGAACTTCTCTTGCACTATCGTCACCTGAAGACTCCAGTCCATCTCTGTGTTGAGCCAACCCAACCTACCTCGTGGCCCTGCAGATCCTTAGCGTTCATCAAAGGCCTCCTCAACAGACGGTCGATATAATCCGACTTCTTTTCCAGAACCTCCGTCACCTAAGCCCAACCACTCCACAAGACCATGTTCCTCAATCTTACCTCCTTCACAGTAGAGCTGGCCCACATCTCAACCGGATCGTCCTGCTGTAAGCCTACCTCTTTACGAAGCTTCTGCACCTAAACCAACGCCCACAATGCTTTCGATCCACCACGGAACCAGCCCTACTCTGTTGGTGATCTCCCTGGCCAAGGCTAGCTGAAGGAGGTCCTCATCCTTGGTGAAGTCCAGTATAACCTGCATGGGCGTCT